CCTCCATCCCAAATGCCAAACTTCTCCTCCGTCCCAAACTTCCCTCTTGTTGCCTTGCCTTGCCTTGCCTAAAAAAAATTATTTTCAGCAACAATCATGAAATTAAACCAGTAATTATGTTCCTGATACTGACCAACCCTTCTGTTTCTGCCTATAAATATTAATTACTCTGCTAGTGATTGCTATCTCCCAAATTCCAGGCAATTATATGGACTCTTGTCCATACAGTTTCTATGGTGTGTGAAGTCTGCAATTGTTCAAAGGATTTAGGAAACTCACTCTGTACCTTATCAGGGGCAGTGAAATAATCTGTTCTTTATTTCAATGGTTCCAAAAATGAAGTCCAGCATTGGAAAGAGAAGCCAGTGGAGAACACTGATGCAAACGAAGCCTAAGCCTGGTTCATCTGCTATTTCAGAGTCCTTCTAGACTTTTCTGATTATGGCAAGAGGTAGTCAAGGATCACACCATCTAACCTCCATTGACTTGATGGTATGTCATACCCTCCCAGGGTTGGATATAATGGTCTCATCTGAACTACAGAAACCATGCAGTTTGACACTGTTTTAACTCTCATGGCAACATCCTATGGAATCCTGGGATTTGTAGTTTGTTGTGGCACCTGAGATCTCTGACAGAGAAGGCTAAATATCTCACAAAACTGCAAATAACAAAATCCATAGCATTGAGCCATGGCAGTTGAAGTGTCATTAAACTCCATTATTTTGTTATTTAATCCCCTTCAGTGAAATGGGGTCTCCAGTTAGTTATGGCTCTCATCTCCCATTATTCTCAGTGAGCCTAAAATATCATTAACCTAGACTAGACCCAATATCCTACATACAAAATAACATCTACAGTGGTATTTGCCTAGCGCTAAGCAGCAATAACTATTGACTTATATGTCAGTGGGTCAGTAAAGCAAGGATTCATTCTGCTCTCTAAAGGAGCTAAGGGCTACTCTGCACATAAGTGCATGATGTGAGTTGCTTTGGATTTCTGCACATTCACATCAATGCTGAATTGTCTACACTTTCCAGTGCAAATTTGTATCCATTCACCCTCCCTCTGCCAAAAATGCGCAGCCCTGTGAATCCATGTCAAGCAGACAGATGACCACATGTTCCAGAATGCACATACTCACAGATACATATGGATTGTTGTTGTTCTATGTCTTCAAGTAATTTCTGATTTATGGAGAACCTATTGCAAACCTATCATGGGGTTTTCTTGGGAAGATTTGTTCAGAGGAGGTTTGCCATTGCCTTCCCCTGTGGCTGAGAGTATATGGGTTTCATGGTTGAACAGGGAATCAACCCCTGCACTCCAGAGCTGTAGTTCAGCACTCAAAGCACTGCACCATGCTACTACCATAGGGGAGCTTATGTGTATTTAAGACAACAGCAGCATTCTGGCCATTGGGATGTTCAGTACTTTTTTCTATGGATCACTTTTATTGTGTAATTTTTATTCTGGAGGTGGTTAATGAAGCAACATTTAACCTTGAAGGTGGCTGCTTCTGGCTCCTCTGGAAAATACTTGTAATGATCCTTTTGGAACTGATGGAAGCTGAATAGCTTGGAATGCTGTGTTGCAGAAATTTTCTTTCTTTCTTTCTTTCTTTCTTTCTTTCTTTCTTTCTTTCTTTCTTTCTTTAATTTAAATCACACTCCCCTCCCCCTTATTTATCATATAGATTAAAAATACAGTTAAGACAAGGATAAGACACTGTAAAATGTAGGACATTCAAGAAGGCTAAATAAAAGCTCAAAACACTCATAGAAATGTAAATTTGTGCTGCTTATTCATGCACAAAATGGAGGACATTATGGAATTCCTCCTGGACAGAAGGTTGAAATGTAGAACATGTGCTTGAAAAGGAGGACACTGGTCACCCTTACTAAAAAAAACAATCATTATAATAAAAATAGTTTTTTAAAAAACAGTTAAGTAAGCTATCCTAGGCTGCTGCCATACTGGAGAATTAATGCAGTTTGCCACTGCTTTAACTGACATGGTACCATGCTATGGATTCCTGAGATTTGTAGTTTATTGTGGCACAAAAGCTCTCTGACAAAGAAGGCTAAATATCTCTCAAAACTATAAATCCCAGA